TCTTCTTCTTCTTCTTCTTCTTCTTCTTCTTCTTCTTCTTCTTCTTTCCTATTATTGTGAGAAGAATTAATTATTTTTCAAAACGAAAAGACAGGAAGAATCTTCACTTCCGGTCTCTAGAATTATCAAGAGCGTATCCAAGCGGCTTTTCTGTTTGGGTTATTTTTAGGCCTTTAGACGAATGATTTATCTTAAAATCCTTTGACGTGGGAGGGATTTACGATTGTTATTTTTGTTTTATTTAAAATCAAACAGCTGATTCAATTCATTGAAACTGACGTCTGTTTCCAATGACTAGGTTCTCGGTAATAAGTCTATGCAACACATGATAATGATTTCAAACAGGAAGAAGCTATCAACACCTGGAACTTGACATCTTTACTGTGTCATGTGCAATAAAAGGGTGGCAGCTCAGTGCCTGCTACAGGTGTAGTTTCACCGACGGTTTTTAACCTTACTGGGTTATCTAAAAAGTCTGAGTCAAGATTGTGAGGGGCTGTTACAATTAGGGTTAACTCTCAAATGTTATTCCCATGTGGTCAGTCATTTTAAAATAGGAAGTATTTGAACCTTTGAGGTGGGGGTGTTGAATCCCATCCAGGTTGACCCCAACCCCCCCTCCCAAAAACAATTAATTTTTACTCATACTTGGAGATGATGTCCCGACGATCCAAAAGTGGCTCCATAGAGAGTAGAGAATCTGGATCGGCGTACTAGGTAAAATAAATTCAGAACGGGAGGTAAAACTTTACTTTTATCCCCATATCAGCCACAAGAGCACGGTAACACGATATACATGTAGCCAGGGTCACATCACAGTGGTGTTAGATACAGAGTTGAATACAGACTGGTGGCTAGCTACTTTAAAAGGATTTATGTTTTCTCTTCATACCATGTAACCATGGTCGCAATTTACCAGTAGGAAGCCGAAGTTTCCTATCCTGAGAGGTACGACTTATATTCCTGTCTTACCTGGAATAGTTCTTCCCACAATGGTGTAAGATCAAGTAATTATAAGCTTAAGACTTTGAAATGACCCACACGGGGCCTTGAAGGTCGATAACATGGTCGATTTTGTAAGAGTGCGATATTTTGCAGGTCCTTATTTTCCTTGTTAATATTGGAACGGGGGGCAAAAGTATATACGAAACGTATACATGTTTTTCAACATTGTGGTCTGCATTGTGTTGTCGGCCATTATAATTTTAGAAAACGTTAAGATGGGTGAGGGGGGGGGGGGGGGAGCTACACCCCCAAAGTCAAAATTTGGCTCAAAATTATGGAATATGAGTTGTAGGCATTTTTAGCTTCGCACAGGAACCCCCGAAAACCGATTATTTTCCCATACCAGGCATGTTTGTGACCGCCATTTCCTCATAAAGTCAGTATTTTATTTTTCTTTATCGGCCGTTTTCTCAAAACGCGACTTTTCTCTATACTTTTTTTAACAACTCCACCAGTTTTCATCCAATCTTCATGAAATTTTCACAGAATGAAGAGAAGAGGTAATACTAAAATTTAGTCAATTGAATTTTTGATATATGGACTATATTTTTGTTGGTGGTGTCTGGAGTGTGGATTTTCACGGATTTTTCGCAAACTTGAATGCTACTTCGGGAAAAAATTCATTAAAAAATTTCTAATTCGTTTAGGAAAAAAACAAACAGATAAATTTTTAGATCTGATGTTTGTGAACTTGCCTGTAAAAAAACAATCAATTTCCATGAGCGATAAGTGCGGTATTCATTACGTAAGACGTGTCAACAAAATCCAAAATGGCCACCGTATCCATGGAAACGAAACTTTTTTCTCAATCTGATTGTGGATTTAAAGACTCCTTACTGTGCTTGTTATATGTGTGAAATTTGGTAAAATTCGGTCAGTAATAAGTGAGATAGCCTTCAGGTGTAGTCCCCCCCCCCCTTAATAAAAATGCATCCCCTCTCAGTCTGAGTACCGTCATCTTCTTCGCCATCGCACGCAGCAGACCCGAATTCGATTCTTGTGAGGGCAGAATTTTTATCAAGTATATCGGTCTTGATGCCGTGATCATTTATCCTTTTTATACAATGTTGCCTGTGGCAGGCAGAGTCGCAGCCCGCATCCTACATGGTTTAAATTGTGTCGAAAGAGGTGTAAAAAACGTACAATTAATTCATTTTCGTCCACACTGTTCCTGACGGGCAGGGTCGAGACAGTTTGACATTTAAAAGATCTAAATTGTGTTAGTTGGGACACGATAACATTTTGCAATCATTCGTAATGTCTTAACCACAGGTACAGGGCAACATCATTGCCAAGCCCACGCTGAGCTACTCAGCTTTCATCACAGTGGACAAAGAGGCGGACTACCATATGCACTTCTGGTACTTCCCTTCACCCTCGGAACAAGAGGCCCCCCTCATGTTGTGGTTGAATGGGGGGCCCACAGTCTCCTCTATGATGGGCGTCTTCTGGCTGCACGGGCCCTTCAAGGTAAACGCTCATTTTGTCTTTCTTACCCGCTTGTTTCTATTCGCTGCTCTACTTCATCATTCTTTCCTGAGGTATTCCAGAAAGGTAGCAAAAAGGTTGGACCCCATTTGGATTTGAACCAAATATTCCCATGCTTCTTAGAACCGTAATCTATCACTCTCATGTACGAATGTGGCGTCTCTTTGAGCAGAAAAATATCTTTGTGCCGACAAATAACATAAAGTTAACTAGACTCATTTCTTTAACAATAATACATTAGATTTCAAGATCTCCACCAGTGTTTGCACTTTTAATTAACTAGCTCACAACCATAGTGGAATATTAAACAAAGGCAAAATATAAGTATTCACTTTATTTTTTTAAATTCCAGCAAAGTTTTAATAAAAAATCAGAGCATTTATAAAGATTATTTCCAAAAAAAAATATACCTGTGTTATCCATTTCACTCAGCAGTACATTTAAGGGGGGGGGGCTACACCCCCAAAATCAAAATTCGGCTCAAAATCATGGAATTTGAGTTGTAGGCATTTTTAGCTTCCTCAGCCTCTCCTACAACTATTTCATGGCATAAGAACCCCCAAAACCCGTATTTTTTCCCATACCGGGCATGTTTGTAACCGCCATTTCCTCAATAAGTCAGTATTTTATTTTTCTTTATCGGCCGTTTTCTCAAAATGCGACTTTCCTCTATACTTTTTTGAATAACTCCACCATTTTTCATTCAATCTTCATGAAATTTTCACAGAATGAAGAGAAGTGGTAATACTAAAAATTTAATTGTTGAATTTTTGATATATGGACTAGATTTTTGTTGGTGGTGTCTGGAGTGTGGAATTTCACGGATTTTTCGCAAACTTGAATGCTACCTCAGGAAAAAATTCATTTAAAATTTTCTAATTCGATTAGGAAAAAAACAACAAACAAATATTTAGATCTAATGTTTGTGAACACGCATGCAAAAAAACAATCAATTTCCATGAGCGATAAGTGCAGTATTCATTACGTAAGACATGTCAATAAAATCCAATATGGCGGCGTATCCATGGAAACGAAACTTTTTTCTCAAATTTGATTGCAAATTTTAAGACTCCTTACTATGCTTGTTATATGTGTGAAATTTGGTAAAATTCGATACAGTAATAAGCGAGATAGCCTCCAGGTGTAGCCCCCCCCCCCCCCCCCCCTTAAAGCAACGTTTGTTCTACGTTGAATGGCAAAAGTGAAGCCTGTTATCGATTCTCTAAACAAGCAAAACAGATCGTGTGATTGTAAGCGATGAATCGCAAACCGGCGTGTAAATATAACCGACTGTCACTGCACCCTCAGATGCTTTACCTTGGTGAAAGCAAATTTCGACCCCACTCTCAACCCCCACTCTCAACCCCCACCCCCACCCCAAAACCTTTGCATTAAAAAAAACACATAAAAGCGTCTTTTGTGAATAACATCACAGCGACTTAAAATTGCCTTACGGAGAGTAATACCCCCTTGTGTGTGTGTGGGGGGGTGTGAGTGAGTGTGTGTGAGTGTTTGTGTGTGTGTGTGTGTGTGTGTGTGTATGTGTGTGTGTGAGTGTATGTGGGTGTGTGTGTGTGCACGCGCGCACGTTTATGTAGGTTCCTACAGATGAGGGGGGAAGGGGGCGCTAAGATTTCCCTTCAATTATTATTTTTTTGCTCCTTGTTTGTTTTAAGAGGTAAAGCGTACAATAATTTGTATTAAATGAGCACGGCAATTAATCGGCAATTAAGGCTCAGGAACAAGAGTGACTGGAAACATATGTTTGGGAGCATCGAAAGATATAAGGAAAAACGTAATCGTTACCCCTGGGCAGCTGAGGATTGAGTGCAAAACAAGTCAAACTAAGCCAACGAAGTCTCGCAACACCATGTGGTTTACACATGTTCAAATTTATCCAACAAAAATACAAAACAAAATATGCCCTCTCTTAAGTTTCCATCTGCTTGGTCAGGAAATGAAATTTCTACAAAGGTGTTACAAATTATTAAATCGGGTGCGCCGAATCACTCCTGATTTCTCCATTTGGTCTCATTTCATCCTGCATTCGATCAGTGACACTTAATTTCCGGCTGTATAACATCGCCCTCCATTTTTACCCAACAATGATTGTCTTTGAACAAGACATATGAGTGTATGTGTGTGTATATGTGTGTGTGTGTGTGTGTGTGTGTGTGTGTGTGTGTGTGTGTGTGTGTGTGGGTGGGTGTGGGTGTTTGTGTGTCTGCGTCGGGATGGGTGCAGATGTACACTATGTAATGATAAAATTAAGTGGATGATCCTAGGATCAAGACGGGGGGAAACACAAGCCTAAGCACAACAAGCCCAACACGGAAGTCACCCATGTTGTGAACATGCGTATATTGTTTTTCTCAAAAGCCGTTTCGCGGACTGTTGTGCCTGTATGTGAACTGCATTAGATAGCATTGTTATTTTAATGTTCACGGGTACTTTTAGGAACATGTTATGTTGTAGTATTCATTTTCTGGTGAAAAATTATATTCCAAACACTTTCCATTTTATACATAATTTGATGATATTTAGCGTGCTCCATTTTTAAACATCATGTATAAAATAACCTTGTATGTTTTTTGCTGACTTGTATAACTGATCTAAAAATGGGATTTCCTTCGACTTTTAACTAAAAAATATTTCTCTACACTTGCCAATCCCTGAAGATTTTCTGTTTCCCGCTTCACAGCCCGAGAAAGTCGGATTGTATGACTTTGGCAAGATAATACCCAGAAACGAGACATGGGTTGGACCCTTTTCAGCCGTCTACGTGGACATTATCGGACGAGGCTTCAGCAGCTCCCATGATTTTCAGCAATCGAATAGATACAAACAGGAGGTCTACACTAAAGATTTGTACAATTTTGTACAACAGTTTCTGCTGCTTTTTCCCGAATTCAGGTTTGTGTTTAAATATTTACTCGCGCTTTTGTTTTTAAAACGGGAATTTTGGATAACGTTTTAGTTTTCCCTTTTATAATTTATGTCTGTACCGGGTGCAGTCAGTTAAGGACTTATAAAGATATCAATGATCATGTTAGCATTCGTCTGACTGCTTTCTGTGTTTTATAGATGTCCATAGACAGTTCTTTTTGTGCTTAGTCGCATTACTGAAAAAAGCTGTGCTTCTAAAAAAGAAAAAAACACAAAAGAGAAGGAGGGATGGGGACGATATATGTTTTACAGGAAGAAGGAGCAAACCCCACCAGACCACCCGCAAGCCATCCACATACTATCTTCAAGACGTAAGTAAAAAAACAGAAGACTGACAAAGAATAGACCTGCACAGGTTAAAAGAAGCTGCAGATGTGGCATAATAATACTAATAATAGTATTTATCGCTGGGTAATTCCGGGGAGGTTATAACGTTCTCTTTGTTTTGTTTAGACTTTTGATGTAGATGTTAAAAAATATCGACCTTTAACATAGTCAACATTATTGTGTTTGCTTCTCTCATATCTTAGCATGGTCACTGGTATCGTGTCAAAAACAAATGGTGCGTTTCCGTTCTGATGAATGTAGTTAGTGGTATTTGTGGCATCTGAGTGTTTTTCTTGGGTTATACCTAATGTATGGCTCTTGTCGTCTATTCAGACGGTCAATTTTGCTTAGATGGTCTCGTGGTTGTCTTCATGCAGCTTCTTTCATGGTTAATTCTTCCTATGTTTGACGCGCAGATACATAATAATGAATAATAAAAGATAAATAGCATTCGTATAGCCCAATTTCCCACCCAACAACAAGCTCTATCTGCTTTACAAACTATGTTATTACCCCCACAGACCTGATAGCATTCTGAAACAATCTCAACTTCCTGGGAAGCATACAGTACAAACTGCCATTTTATAGGCGCTAAAACACTGCACTGACATACTGACTATATCTTTCGCTGTCTATGGCGGGATACCTAGACGCTCATAGATATTAAGAACGTATACCTTGGTAATCATTCCAACCTGGGTGAAGTGAAAAAATTGTTTAAAGTGCCTTTTCCAGAGAGAGCCGAACCCGAAATCTCACGATTACGAGTCCAGTAGCCTATCCACTCGAATACTGACACCACTTTTATTCACACCATCTATTTGTAAGTTTTGACAGGTTTTTGAAGAAACTCAAGACAATTTTGTACCTGAGTGTTAGTACCATTTTATAAATGTCGTATGATATACACACGTACACACTCGCGCAAACACACATACACACATAGAATGAAAGTGTGAGAGAGAGAGAGAGAGAGAGAGAGAGAGAGAGAGAGAGAGAGAGAGAGAGAGAGAGAGGGAGGGAGGGAGAGACAGAGAGAGAAGAAGATTGAAAGAGGGTGTGTATGTGTGTATGTGTTTGTGTGCATGTGTGTATATGTGTGTATGTCTGTACGTGTGAATGTGTGTGTGTCAATGTGTATGTATGTGTGTGTGTGTGTGTGTGTGTGTGTGTGTGTGTGTGTGTGTGTGTGTGTGCGTGTGTGTGCCCGCACACGTGCGTGTGAGTATGAATTGGGGGGGGGGGGGGGGGGGGGGGTTGAAGAGGGCTCTTTGCCTGACACGTCAATTTATATACACGTACATCTCATATGTCAAGACTTCTGTACAACCCAATATTATTTTCCCTTTTTTTTTTGTCTCTTTCAGCTTTCATAGTAGGTTGGGTTTTTTAAGTCGCATTCAAAATTTCTTCACAGAACAAGAGGCGTGTACATAGCTGGCCAGTCCTACGCAGGGCACTTTGTACCGGCCCTGGCATATGCCTTACACAAGGGCATCAGTGAGGGAGACTTGGACATGGTTCTGAAAGGAGTCATCCTAGGTGGACCTCTGTACTACCCACAGGTATCACGATGGCGTCTACTGAGTTCTTAACTGATCTTATTGAATGATCATACGTCGATTCGTTCCTTTTTGACGATTTGATGTTTAAGAATAAGCTTGTTGACAGCTTGATTGGTTGCTTGACTGGTTGACTGCTTCGGGGTTTTGATCCATTTCACAGTTCTTTTATTTCTTCATTCGAGCATAGATTGATTGGTGACAGTTAATTGGTTGATTGATTGATTGGTTTGATCGATTGATTGGTTGATTGATTGATTGATTAGTTGGTTGGTTGGTTGGTTGGTTGGTTGGTTGGTTGGTTTGGTTGGTTGGTTGGTTGGTTGGTTGGTTGGTTGGTTGGTTGGTTGGTTGGTTGGTTGGTTGATGCATTGATACATGGATTGATGTATTGATTGATGCATTGCAGAGACAACTTCACTTTGGAACAACCGTAATAGGTCCGTGTGTCCCTTCTACGTGTAAATCTGACAGTTCTAAGGTTCATCCTAAGTAAATTGACCCTCACTCCCTCTCCTTGTGTTGTAAAAAATACAAAAGATACAAACAAAATCTCTCTCTCTCTCTCTCTCTCTCTCTCTCTCTCTCTCTCTCTCTCTCTCTCTCTCTCTCTCTCTCTCTCTCTCTAACATCGTCTCCCACTCTCTCTCTATCTGTGAAGTTGTATAGGTGTAACGACCCTGGCACACAGTAAGAATATCTATAGTGCGGTCAAAAATTTGTGGCACGACATATCTCTTTAACAGGTGAATCAATGTCACCTATATGTATTAATTTGTCTTAGCTTAATTATACCGTAACAATTAAGAATATATTTAATAACTTTCCTTCATAAATTCTTCAAAGCACTTCCCGCTTCTCACACACATTTTGCATTCGCGTGTGCCAACGCCACAGCTCACCTATGATACTTTTTAGTAGCAAAGCTTGTTACAAGAAATTACTTTTATAGTGCACACATTTTCTCACTAAACGTTTTCACAACATGCGCCCAATAAACATATTTTCGGGATTAGAAAAAAATGGCGGACTTTCTTTAAAGAGCGATATTGCCCCAGCTGTTGACCTTTTAAAATCCGTAGAAACCACCCACCTGGATTTTTTATTAGCACTTATTAAGGAATTTTTTAGAATACAACTAGCATGCGTTTACAAAAATGTTGATCGATTGTGCAATAGTTGGAGAACCTATATTCAATAGTTGAGGAGATTTGACAAGAGGTTGGGCCACAAATTTTTGACCGCACTGTAGGAGGCAAGACCTCTCAATCTGACGTCCACTCCCAACCACCGAGCTAAAAGAGAGAATTCGTACAAAGTGTCTTAACCACGGACTAAACATCAAACCGAGCTGACCCTCGGGTCACGAACCCACGATCTCAGAATTACGAGTTCAGTAGCATAACCACCAGACTACCCACGTCCCCTCTCTCTCTCTCTCTCTCTCTCTCTCTCTCTCTCTCTCTCTCTCTCTCAGATTTCATCGCTTGCCTTATGTATAAATGTATATTCTTCACAAGCCAGCCTATCTTTCGACGTTGATTCTCATGCAATTATCTCAAAGCTCACCATTTACTCGTTGCCGCAGTTCCTCATTTCAAGCTTCCTTCTTAATACATGTAATTTGATCAAGGTTTCTCCCCGCCTATCCCCGCCCCCACACAAATCTCCATTTCTCTGTCTGCCTGTCTGTCCTCTTTTGTATTGCATGCAACCTCCCTCCGCCCGCTTGATATTCTGTCTTTCTCTCTCCCCC